GATTTAATTTCAATGCAGGGCCCCTGCCATCCGATTATACATATGTCGACCTTATTAGGTAAAAATAAGAATTCTAGAAAAGGAAGTAGGAGAATTAACACGTTGAACGCCGCGAGAATCTTATACGATTCACGCTTATTTTACTTACAGCTTCGCGCGAATCACAATTGATTCGCATGTATTGTTATACTGTGGGCACCGCCGCTTGTAGGTGATTCGCGCTGCAATGATAAGTACATGAGAGTTTGAAGTTAGTAGCCCTCTCAACAAATATTTTTGATTAGCACGGCCCTGCAAGTAGTAAAACGTACTTGATATTGCCTAACATTATGGTTGTTCATTTCTGCTCTTTTACACCAATATGGACTCTAGATAATATGGTAAATAAAAGGTAATAGACACATTAGTTTTACAAAATGCTTTATTTCTCCAACAATATAAGAAACTGCTCACTAGGAGAATATTATAAATATAATACCGAAAAAGTGTTTGTATAGGAAGAAGTATCGCATTCTATATAAAACGCCTATAGAGTACAATTGTGTACATTTGTGAAACAACTTACACAATAGAATTTGTCACTTGAACACAATTTCCATCTAGTTTACGTTGCTTTGAAAGTCGCGTACTTTCTGTTGAACTCTTCGGACAAATTCTTATAGCAAAATACGCATCTGCGACGATTCTTTGTTTCTACTTCTTCCAAAATATGCTTTTCCTCAGACGAAGATATTTCCGTTGGTTTTATTTGCAGTAAATATTTTACTATTTCTTCTCTGAACTGACTTATGGTAATATTACAGCCCGTTACTTTTTTATATAATATGAATGCGTTTACAACTGCTGATCCAAGGAGAATTTCAATGGCCATTTTCCGATACCACTTAAAATTTATTCTAAGACAGGAAGCAGAAACTTTTGTTTTTATTGTAGTCGGTGACAACTTTTGGCTTTTCTTTCACAGTTCCATTTCTTGATGTTACTGGTAGCATTATTTCCGTAGGTTTTGTTGACAACATCATAACCTCGCGTTTATCACACCATTTTATTACTACAACTCCTAAGTCACTTTCTGCACCAATTACCTGCCCCTTTTTAGTTTTTTTTTTCAATATTATTTTTTGGATTTTCCTTTCAATTTCTTCGCAAGGTTCCAACAAGGTGTGTTTGTCGTTCTAATAATTTATGTGCTAGTTTAATACTCGTTTAATCATCACCATCATCCAGCTCCATTTTCACATCCATTGTTGGATATAGGCCTCCTCCAAACATCTCCAGTTCTCTCTATCTTTAGCTGCTGCAATCCAGTTTGTTTCTATTCTCCTTAGGTCGTCGGTCCATCGGGTGGGTGGTCTGCCTCGACTTCGCTTGTCGGCTCTTGGTCTTCACTCCATAATCTCTTTGTCCATCTTCCGTCTTCCATTCTAGCAACAGGTCCAGCCCACCTCCAATTTTGTTTATTGATTCGCAGAATAATATCGTCTACGCCAGTTCGTCGGCGTATCTCCTCATTTCTCACGCGATCTTTCAAGGTCAGGCCCAGCATTGATCTCTCCATTCGCCTTTGTGTTACCCTCAGTTTTTCGGCAGTAGCTTTCGTAAAAGTTAGGGTCTCTGCTCCATAGGTCAAGACTGGTAAAATGCATTGGTTAAATGCCTTCCTTTTCAGGTGAATTGGGATATTTGTTTTAAAAAAGTCGCTCATCCTTCCATATACCGCCCATCCCAACGTTTAATACTTGTCAACAAATACAGTACGACCGCGGTCAAAAAGCCCGTCACATATTCCTAAAACAACCGAACTGAGAACACTAAGTACACTATTAGTTTTCTCGGTACCACAATAGATTTTAAAGTCATAAGTGAACCCATCTTCTATACACAATTTAAAGAATTTTACACCAAACTTATGTCGTTTATTTTTGATAAATTATACGAAAGATAGCCGACCACGAAAGGGAACTAAAGTTTCGTCTATACAAATGTTACCAGACGACGGTATAGAATTTTGAAATTTTTGTCGGATGTGATCTATGAGCAATTTTATCTTATACAGTCTTGTGGAAATATGTGAATTTTCGTTATCAGTAAAATGCCAATTATTCAGAAGAAGTTCAAATCTGTTTCTTGACATGACTTGTTTTATTTCATTGAAGTGTAGCACACTAGAAGACCAATAAGAAGATAATTTTGGCATTTAAACAAGCCCAATCAAAATTTGTAATCCCAAAAATATTTTTATTTCATCTATATTCATATCTTTCCACTATCTTATTCGAGCATTCGGTAAAAGTGCTTTCTCAGCTTTTTGGGTGGCATATCTATTTTTCTCGTTGACCATCATAGTAAGAAGACTGGCATCCACAAATAGGTAAAAGAAATCTATTGATTTTTTCTCTCGCATATTTTCCGCAATATCAGAGTTTATTTTTAAATTATTAGCAAGAAGCGGAAATGTTTTCAAAATGTTACCTGTGATTACACTTCACTGTAAATTGCT